GACCTATCATACAATGCAAACATTCAACGAAAACATGATATAATGCAAGCATGCAACTAATGTAATGCAACGTGCAAACATGCAAAGTATGCAAAGATGGTCTTATATTGAAATGAGAGGGCCTCAGCCCATCCCAAAACAGCGGCCAAGAGGGTGCAACAAAGGCACAAAACACACATGGAAACATGCATATACCAAGGCCTATCACCTAAGGCATAAAAAAGGCAATTCTAAGCATACTTAAAAGAGACAAACATGGGCATTTTACAAATATGCTGAGCTCTGAAATCATGCTAATAGGAGTGCCAAACCAAACACGCAAATGAAGCATAGCATGCAAAGGGGTCCAAAGCTTGAGACCAACCAAAGGACTCAAGCCATAACCATGCCAACTAAGCCCCAAAGGGCCAAAGTGACTTAAATCAGTCCTAGGGCAGACCAAAATGGGACTAGAACATGCACGGAACATGGTCAAAACATGCCAAGAAATGGGCCCAAAACAAAGGGCATTTAAGGCCACAAAAGGGAGCGCTCTACTACAACCACCCCAACCACACATGGCATGGACTATTCGACCAAAAACAGAGTTTCAATGCATAAATACACCCCAAAACCTGCATGAATGGCATCCCAAATGACTTAAACAAAAGGCATGCACTATGATCCATTTCTAGGCATAAAAGAACAACTCTTCAAGGCATGAAAGGGATGATGAATGCAAGCATACAAGCATGGATTAGGGACTGAAATAGCATGGGAAATGACTCCAAATCACTGAAATCACCCAAATAAAGCATGTTAATGACTCACACACTCAAGGCTCACAAGCCAAAATGCAAAGGGGCTATACCAAGCATGGCAAATATGATCAAATCAGCACCCAACAGACCTCAAGCATGGTAAGACATGGCTAAGAACTTCACAAAGTTAGGCCAAAACATGAGAGCATGGTAGGCTAAATGCATGATGCACTTCTAGGCAAAAAGGAGGAATGCAAAGCAAGTATACTATGCATGCAAGGGGCCATTAATCCGACCAAAAATAGAGACATAATATGACCAAATAACATCCAAAAATCTCTGAAATGAAGTCAAAAGCAACTACACATATATGCTACCCTTATGAGCCAAAAATGCAAACAAAAGAGAGACAAAGGGAGAGGGGTGTCCCTCCCCTATGCAAGACCTCAAAACCCCTTCTTCACCACTGAAAATCCACTGGATTTCAGTGGTGAGAAGGTCAATGCACAAAGGTATTCAAAGCTTAACAAAGAGAGCACAAAAAGGGCCAAACAAGGCCTAAGAGGGGGAGGTCGACCCCCAACACCAAAATGACCTTAATGAAGTATCTTAAGCATGAAAATACAAGACTTTTTTCAGTTATACACAAAGCTTAAATCAGTATGTAAGATAGGTTAGAGACTAGTGCAAGATTGGAGAAAATAAAGCAAAAGTGTTACCCTTGAAGAACACTTCAAGAACAGCAAGTGCAATCCCCTTCTTCTGATCAAAACCACCTCAAAACTTGAAGAACAAACCCTCAACACCTCCAAAGTTGAAATATGGTGTAATACTATGTGTTCTAGTGCAAAACTAAGAACAAACTACACTTTTAGGTCCTCAAACACACACAAATCAAGAGAGAGAGGGAGATATAGAGAGAGAGGGTGATATATATTAGAAATATATGTGATTAGGTCTGGTTTTGCTGAACCCCTTCAAAGGAGAGGGGAGGTCTCCTTATATAGACAAGGTAATGGCTCCAAGCTTCTTAGAGAAGCTAAAATAAAAAGGTCAATGAGGTCAAGCTTCCAAGGGAAGCTAACCCAAAGGTCCAAGCATCTTGAGGAAGCTAAAACAAAGGGTCAAGCTTCCTCAAGAAACTAGACCAAAAGAGGTCAAGCTTCCATGAGAAGCTTGAGTAAAAGGGTGCAAAGGTTCAAAACAGCCACACACGTGTATGGGGGGGAGGGTCCTTGCACTCCAGCTGGCACAGCTGGCTTGCACCATGCCTGAAAAAGGCAAAAAGGAGGTACCGGCCAGAAAAGGAGACAATCGGCCAAATAAATGGTCGGCCGGCTACTATAAATGGTCGGCCTGCTATTTTTCTGGCCAACCGGCTAAATTGGTGGCCGATACATGGCTGCCAAGGCCAAAAAGTGGTCGGTGGATGTCCAGATTGAAGCCCCAGAAGTTAGTTTTCCAATGGCGCAAACCTTGCATTAAAATTCCTCCTGTGCAAAAAAGTTATGCCTGTTTTGGTGAAGCTGCGCAGATTCGATCCAACCGGATTGATCCCCTACTTCAACCAACCATGTCTCCCCCACCCGGACTTGGCTTTAGGAGATTCTTGAGTGCAAAATGAAGCCCCGGAAGTAAAATTTCCAATGGTGGTGGCCTCATAGCTAAAATCCAAGTATGCAGATGAATAAGCCCGATTCAGCGAGGGCTGCTCGACTCTCTTCTACCCAAATTCATGCCGAACTTCTCCCAAACTAGTTTTCTTCTCTCCTTTCCTCTTTTCTTCAACTCCAAACCCCTAAACAAAGTGTTTTTGAAAGATTTTTCAAATATTTCATCTCTCTTTCATTCATCTACACTTTGTCCTTGCTCGGTTTACCGAAAAGCACAACATTTAATGAAAAGCGAGCGTCGGAACATCGTAGGAACTTTATTTTCAAAACATTTTGAAAGAGAGGGTTAAAAGTCTAAAATATTTTGATCAAGATTGTTTTGGTCCAAAAGGGGGTATGAAGTTGGGACTGGACTCTCCTCTTGCCGAAGAAATTGAACATTTGCCCTGCACAGCTTTCTCCACCATATAAACCATCAGTAGCGTCCAAGTCTTAAGGGCGGTCAAAAATGGGGTGTCTACAACCGCATGCTCAATAGTCAGCCCATCTGGGGATGTCAACACGACCCTTAGCCCGGTGCTATGTCTATTGGAAGCCCCATCGACGAAGAGTTCCCATATCTCGCCAATGAACAACTTCCAGTAGTCGGAGGGACTTTGAGAGTTCCTCAACTCCAAGGTTCTGGTCGGCTCAGTCTAGTCTCTTTCTACATCTCCGTCGAGCTTTGATTTCGGTAAATTGATCGGTTCTTCCCTTTCCTGTCTAGTTTGCTCTTGTCGTTTCGCTACTTGTTGTCCACCACTTATTTCTGCTATCTGAGCCGTGGGCTGCGCCAACTCCATGCTAGCCAAATTGATAGGGCAAACAGGGTGTGTTCCAGGGGCAAACTCCGCCATGAAGTCGACAAGAGCTTGAGCTTTGATAGTCGTGCGTAGTTAGAACTTAATATCGTACTACCCCAATTCTACGGCCCATTTCAAAATTCTGCCAGTGAAATCTTCCTTTTCAAAGAGCACCTTGAGCGGAAATTCGGTTAGCACAACTCTCGTGTGGGCATGAAAATAGTGCGCCAGCTTTCTGGAGGCCATCATGAGAGCCAGAGGCAGTTTTTCTGGCAGCAAATATCTTGATTCGACTGGGAACAGTGTCTTGCTAACGTAGAAGATGGGGAGGTGCTAGATCCCCTCAACGCGGATGAGAACGGTGCTTATCGCATGCTGAGAAACTGCCAAGTAGAGATACAGTTCTTCGCCCAATTTTGGTGTGACCAGAATTGGGGCCAAGGAAAGGTATACTTTTAAATCCGCCAATGCACGGCCACATTCGTCATCACAAAAGAACTTGGCCTTCAAAGTTTTGAAGAATGGCTTGCAACGATCTGAAAATCGGCTAATAAATCGATTCAACGCGGCTACCATTCCGGCGAGATGCTACACATCATTCGTGGAGTTTGGCCGCTCTAGCTCTTGTATTGCTTTGATTTGGGAAGGGTCGGCCTCGATTTCTCGGTTCGTGACCAAAAAAACTAGAAACTTTCCGGTTCCAACTCCGAATGCACACTTGGAGACGTTTAAACACAGCTTGTGATGCTTGAGTATGGCAAAAATCTTTGCTAGGTCGACAAGGTGTTAAGACTTGTCTTTGCTCTTCACCACCATGTCATCGATATAAGCCTTCATGGTGCGGCCAAGGATGGAAGTGAACATTTTGGTTACCATCATCTGAAAATTCGCCCCGACATTTTTGAGACCGAACGTCATGACCTCATAGTAATACAAGCCTCTTGGAGTGGTGAACAAAGTGATCTCTCGGTCTGGTTTGTATATGGCGATCTAGTGGTAGCCACGATATGCATCTAGGAAGCTAAACCTCTGATGGCCAATGGTTAGATCCACCAGCTGGTCGATTCTCGAGAGGGAGAAGCTGTCCTTTAGGCACGTACGGTTAACTGTCTTATAATCGATGCACACCCACCATTTACCATTATTTTTCGGCACTACCATCGTGTTAGAGATTCATCTAGGGTACTGCATTTCTTCTATCGCCCCAGCTTCCAGCAAGTTTTTGACCTCCTCTGCCACTATCTTGGCATGGTGCAAGGCCAAGCGTCGCGTTCTCTGGATAACCGGTCGTGCATTTGGAAATACATTCAACTGGTGGCAAATGAAGCTAGGGTCGACGCTAGGCATATCGTAAGGCGTCCACGCAAAGGCCTCAATGTTGGAAACCAAAAAGTTGACATTTACTGGACAAAGATGATCCCAAAGAAAGAACTTATTTGGATCATTTTCATCAACGCGCACTTCCATCAAATCTTCAACCGATTTTTGTTCAGTTTTTCATCCCACATCTTCCAGGACTTCCTTCCCTTCTGGTCCTTCAATCATTTGAACAAAGACTTTGGCAGCCCGGCTTCCATTTACTGTGACAAAGCACTATTTTACCATTACTTGGTCCCCCCAAACCTCATCTACTTGTTCGGACAGCGTTGGAAAGCGCAAGACCTAGTGATAAGTTGACGCTACTGCCTACATAGCGTGCAACCAGCCCCTTCCCAGGATTAAGTTGTAGGTTGACGGGACCTTAAGCACCCAAAATTGCACTTGCTTTTGACCGACAATATAATCTTTCCAATTGGCTATTCGGATTAAGAATTTAAGCCAACCAAAGAGGACGTGGCTAGAGCCAAGTCTTTGTTTTCCAACTTCATCTGCTTGAACACGTCATAATACATGATCTCAACTGAGCTCCCTTGGTCAATTAGAATTCTTTTGATGTCGAAGTCTTTGACGCGAAGGGTCACCACTAAGGCATCATTATGAGGCATTTGAATTCTCTCAAAGTCCTTGCTTGAAAAAGTCAAGACATCTTTTACCTCGGTCTTTCCTTTCTTTATGGCGAGTTGAACAGAGAGCACTTCCCTCATGTGCTCGGCCTTCTTAATCATCCCCCACAGCTCGCAAACCCGCGTTGGTTCGATGATACCGAGAATGACATTGATTACGCCTTGGGGTGCCTCATCTAGGATAGCAAGGCCATTTGGCTCGGCCTGTCCCTGTGGAGCGGCCCTTATACCCCCGTTTATGTACTGGTCTAGATGCCCAGCCACCACCAACTCCTCCAAATGTTGTTTAAGCAGAACACAATTCTCCGTTCGGTGCCCCCTTTCTTCATGGAAGGTGCAGCGATACCTTGAGTTGAAACCCCTATGTGTGTCTCCCAATTTGGCCAACCAACGTATATAGGGCCCACCTTGGATCTCACTTAGGATGAGGTAAATTAGGATCTTAAAGACAATGGTGATGCCGATTCGTGCTCTCAACTTCCTCTTGGCATCTTCTTCTTCACTACAAGGAGCGTTAGTCGGTCGTTTCTGCTACTTTTATTTCTATCATTGTGGTTCAAACTACGATGTTGGTCTCTAGCTCGGTCATTTGGGTGGTTATCCTCCTGTCTCACCGAGTGAACCTTTCCAGCCACTCTTCTATCCGCCACAATCAGATTTGCCTTCTCGGTTGCAGTGGCGGTAGCGGCATCATCTTCTACTCAGATATGTTCGTTGATCTGCTGCATCAAGGACTCCATGGTTCTGGGATGGTACATCATGAGCGAGTCTGGCAGCCTATGTTCTGCTGGGAGACCTCGCTTGTATTGGGCGATCGCCAAATTGGTGGGGCAATCAAGAATCTTATTGTAAGTTTCCCAATACTTGGCATTGTATACCCTCAAAGAACCTCCAGATTCCATCTTGATGCTCAGGAGGTGGTCAACCTCCTGAGGTGGTCAACCTCCTGAGGTGTTCGAGTGTTGGTCTTGAATCTAGTAACAAAGGCTTCTGCCAGTTGTTGCCACCCCTCGATGTTCCCCTCCGGGAGTCTTTCAAACCACTTCAAGCCCAGTTCTTCCAAACTTGCTGGGAATATGAAACACATCAAGGCGTCATTTCGCTGGTGGCCAGCCATTACTTGCTGGTAGTGACTCACGTGCATGTACGGATCCGTCTTATCGTCGTACCGCGTGAACTTAGGTTGGTGGAATCCGGCAGGGAGTGGCGTGCTCTCGATTTCTAGGGATAATGGGGTAGCGGTAAGTCTTGTTAGCTCTCTATCCATCGATACGGGGGCTATCATCCTAGGCGCTAACATCATCACTTCCTCGCTGCAACGGATTTGGGGACTCAGCCTTTGAAATGCCGGCAGTCTTTAGGTCTCTCTACGGTGAGCTCACTCCTCCAACACATCCCTCAGGTCCCCCGAACGGGCGGAGTAAGAGTATCTCGATGTCATCGATGGACGTGAGGGACGGTAACTGCTGTCGCGAGTGTAAGATCTCTTTATTGGTGGGTCAGAGTCCCCAACTCCATAACTTGTGGTGACAGAGAGAGAGGGTGTCATATCTTGGCGACGATTGTTAGAGCGAGGGGTCAGGGTGCGCTCACTGTGGTTGCCCTCTCCAGCAACACCCTTCCCCTTGATTTGGCGCTTCAGCACCTCCATTTTAGCCGCCATCTTCCAAATGAAGGCGTCCTGGTCTCTGAGTTTGTGCTCGAAGTGCTAAGCATTTGACTCTCCTCGTCGTCAGCGACCCTCTAGACTCTTGGAGTGGTCGGTGCTCCTTGCGCATTTGTCTTACGCACCTCTGGAAGAGGTCTCTAGGCCCGCCATAGTCAAAATAGCAGGAGGGTCATCGCTCCATCGGATAGACTCTGGTGTGATACCGTTGACAATGGACAGCGGTGTTTCGCCATTGTTAGCCATGAAAACGCTCGAAAAAGCTTGGAGAACAAGGTTTTTCTATTAAAGCTTTCCCACAGACGGTGCCAAATGTATAGGGGTGAAATACTCTCAATTATCCATACTCCTTGAACCCAAGCTCCACGTAACGCTGCTTAACCTGAAAACCAAAAGAAGGTGAGCTATCCGGCGATGTGCTGCCGGATAAACCCTCCAACGATCAAGTCAGCACACTTGGAGGAGAAGAAGAATAGAGAGCGCTCTAGAGAGAGAATTGGGAATTCATTCAAATTACTTACCTCTAAAGTCTCCACACTTGTTCTTTTCTAGGCTGGCCATGCAGCCTCAAAGATTGTGGGCGCACTACCTCTGTTGTCCTTCTCTGGGCAGGCGGCTGTGCTCCCCTCTACCTTCCTGACACATGTAGAGACCAAAACCTCCAAACAGTGTTTGTCGAACCGTCAAACGGTATTGACGCATACCAGGAGTGGATTTACCCTTTTTCATATCATTGGTCCAAATGGCTCACACAACCGGGTTATCACTTGGAAGAAGCGGACATCACAACAAACTAGGACAACCAAGTTATAATACACCGGTCCATCTGAATTTACTGGTCATAGGGCGCGTGGTTCAGCATCTTGGCCTCGCTCAGCTATCTCATAAGACGTCTCAGCCCTACATCATCCCAGATTGGTCGTAGCTCGGCCCTACGTCAGCCCGTATTGTTCGTAGCTCGGCCCAGCTCACCAATGCTGGTCTTACCAAATATCAGATTTCACTAATCAACAGCTTGGTTTCCATATTCTGGTCAGTTTGCCCAGCTCAACGTAATGGGCCGGGGAGCCGCGCTGGTTCAGTTCGGTCAGGCATATAGTTTTTGGCCCTCGCAAGGCCTAACACCATATCCCGTACTGCCGTAACGCTGCCCATTTGACCAGTGCAAATCTCCCTCTCAATTAGTTACACATGTTAATTTTATTCTATTAAAGGATGTCATAACATTTTTTAATCTTTTATATAATTTCATCTAACTAAATAAAAAATATGTAAAATATGAATTTAAGGCTAATAATTTGTTTCATCTAAGTTCATCTAAGATAGGTATTTTATGTTACTTATTTTAGAGTGAATATAGAAATATATATATATATATATATATATAGTATTTTAAAATTAAGGAAATCCAACTGAATTGAAATCAAACATTTTATAAATAATTTCATTTAATAGAGTCTAATTTTACGAAATTTAACTTGTGAGAAAAAATTTAATGTTCCTTTACACTTAGATAGTATTTGGTTTGGTTGAATGGAATAATTATTCTATTAAAATATTTATTCTCATGTTTAGTTACACTAAAAAATTAATGACAAATGTATTATAGATAGAATCATCTTTTACGATTTTGAAACCTAAAAAATCATTATTCTATTCCCACTAATTCTAATTAATTAAATATAGTATTTGCGTTTTTAACTAATGCCTCGTTTGACAAGTACCCTTTGTAACTAAAAATTCAAAAAGTTACTAAAAAAAAATCAAAAAACCAACAGTCCATACCAAAAAGTCAAAGATTTTATTTTCTCTCTACTTTTTGCACATCTTTTTATAAAAAATCAAAAAGTCATGCTAAATATACTAATTTTTTTTACATCACATTTTAACAAAAAAGTTACTACAAAAGCATGTTCGCAAACCAGGTCTAAGAATGAAAGTTTTTGACATGACAACCTAACACGATAATAACATGACACAAATAAAAACATGAAATAATACAATATTATAAAAAAATAAATAGATTGTATTAGTCTTAAGAGTGGAATGATCTAAATAAGGCCAAGTTTGGGGACTTTAAAAAAAGTCAAAAAGTTAAAAAGTTACTTAAAAAGTTAAAAAGTTAACACTATTCACCAAAAGTCAATAATTACGGCTACACAACTCCCAATTCAAATTTTTCTCTACAAATCAATTTTTACAATTTTTTATTACACATTTTTCAATAAAAAGTCAAAAAGTTAACCCAAATATCCATATTTTCAACCTCAATTTTTTAGTCCAAAAAGACAAAAAGTGTACTTTTTTAGTCTTCCCAAACTTGGCCTAAGTATACTTTTTAACTTTTTATAAAATATGAATTGAGTGTAAATTGAATTTAAGATGATGTGCTAAAGAAATGATGTGACTTAAATAAGATAAAATGACTTAAATAGGATAGTGACTTTTTAATTTTTCTAATATATGTTAAACAAGACCTTAATGTAATTTTGACTCGAATTCAAACTAAACACAACACGATAATATCTGCTCCTAGTTGGGAGTCCCTGAATTTTGTTGAAATTTGGCAACTCGAAGTGACCGCCTTTATCACCTCTCCTCAAGATCGACGTTGCTAACGGCGATCGACAGCAGTAGACAGTGACGGCGAACAAGTAGACACGTGAAGAGATATGTGGACAGGTGTACCAATAGATTGTTGCATTGTTTGGGAAAGTTTAAAAAAAAAAAAAAACAATTTATTTACTTTTTTGGGCTTCTAGAAAAATTGTGCAAAAAATTAAAGAAGTGATCTAATTTAAATAAGTTAATAAATTAATTTTTTTCTTAATCGTCAAAATAGGCATAAATGGAGAAATAAATAATTGAACAAGTAAACATATAAGTGAACACATGTATAAGGAATGTTTTGGGAAATTGATAAAAAAATTAATTTTTTAATTTTTTGACATTTTTAGTGACTTTTTTGAACAAAAAACTAGATTCTTTTGAGTAAAAAAATTGACTTTTTTCACTAAAAAAGTTAAAATGTCAAAATTTTGATTTTTTTAACTTGTTGCCAAAATGCTCCTATATAAGTGAGCAAATATACAAGCATTCCAATAATTTTAAATTTAAATTTATAGCCCAAGTGCTTACTTAAAAATCAAAAACAAAAAAATAAGATCAAGGAACTTCCCTTCTGAACAAAAAAAAAACATACAAAAAAATGACAAAGAAACCAAAATTATATTCCTGATAGTAAAAAGTTATATCATACATATACATCAATCATTTTTTTAATTCATAACTATCTACTCATCTAAAAAACCAAAACAAAAAATTCCCAAACAATTTTTTTTCTTTTTCATAAAACAATCAAAAAAATTATTAAAACAGTGAAGTCCCAAGTGGCCTAATTCTATTATGAGCTCCTGCAGGTGGGCTTTGCCTTCGAGTTGGGCTCTGGCTGTCCCAAGTCCCAAGCCCTTGGGTATGAGGCTACCAAAATAATTATAAAAAAATAAAATAAATTAAAAAATTAATAAAATAAAATATTATATTAAATAAAAACAGTTTTCAAAAAATTCTACACTCTTATTTTTCGTGTTTTTTTGTTTTTACTGAATTTTTTAAATATTTTATGCAATTTTTTTACTTTTTAAACACACCTAACATAAATACACCTAAAAAGTAAAAAAATTATAAAAAAAATCTTTTAAAAATTCACTAAATATAAAAAAAAATACAAAAATTTAGTATATTTTTTTATATTTTTATGTATTTCTTAATTTTTTAAAATATTTTTTCACAATTTTTTTACTTTTTGACACATCTAAGTAAGGTGCATCTAAAAAAGTAAAAAAAAATATTTAAAATTTTAAAAATATTCACTAAAAACAAAAAAACACGAAAATCAAAAAACTTAATTTTTAAAAAACTTAATCCAGAAAACTCAATTTTTAAAAAACTTAATCCAGAAATCTTTTTTATATTTTTTTATTTATTAAATTCAAAAAAAACTAAAAAATTCAATTCAAATGAGACAAAATATCACAACTAAATCAAAATAAACTAAAAACTAATAAGACAAAATAGAATACCTTTTAATCCAAATTAAAATTATTAAAAAGTAAAAAACCAACTCGAAGGCACAATCCTCAAGCGATTTTCCAACTAACATACAATGCACTTTCAAGAACATACAAAAACTAAAACAAAGTACATATAAAATTTAAGGATACCATTCATATATAACTTTATTATTTATACTAATTTCATACCAACCAACAAACTTAACCCTCCTTTTGGAGAGACCATACAAAATGCAAAAAAGAAAAGGGTCCACATTTCCCTCCCCTTTTTCACCTCAAACCAAACAAGGTACCCCCACACCACCGCCTCACTTTCTCTCTCCTTTCTCTCTCTCACTACAACTAGGCTCCAAAATCCAGTTCATACCCCTCTCTGAACCCACTGTCCCCTATGGGTCCCACGCGCCACATTTCTTGACAAACCTCTGTTCCAAACTGACTGACTGTGTAATGATAAAGACAAAATACAACAATATATAATATTTATATATACTAACCCACGCGCCACCACACGCGCCATAACCCTCTCCAATAATGTAATTTGGGATCCCTCTTATTTCATGTACACCGTTGGATCAACACTTTAGCGGAGGTACAGGGTTGATCGAATGGCCTACATGTTATCATCTCGAGTGCATATGAGTGCTAACCCGATCTGACAATCTACTTAGCTCCACCATTTTACGGCGGAGCGTAGATAAAGCGCGTGGGGATGGTATGACCTTTTTTACAGTGTAGAACCCACAAAAGCATCAACGCTTCGCCGGAGTACTTGCCGGGAAAAGGTATACCTGACTCTGTATCACCGTTTTGCCGATCTTAAACCCCGGAACCACCGTAAACGCCACCCGAAAACCACCGTCAACGCCGCCGCACTCGGCCGCGGTGAATAATGCATCGTCTGTGACACTATCCATGTACACCTCCGAGAATCTGCAGTTCTTTCCCACCTGAAAGATGTTCACTTCTTGATCAAACGAGAAAGCGAAGCAATGCAAAAGCCAAACTCGCTTTGCCATCTCTGCAAACGCTGCGAAGAATCCAGTTTCCGGGAACTCCCCGGAATTGATCATCTTTCTCTGGCTCAGATTCCCGGAAAATGAGGTCTCCATTTTCGGGTGAACCAAACGGAGGTACTTGGTCCTTACGAACTTCCCAAATGCTGAATTTGGGTCGTTCTTCAGAAATTGAATTGGGTTCACTGACTTCAACTTCTTAAACCGATCGAGAAACACGAATCTGCCTTGTTCATCGCTTGATTTTGAGTCATTTGGAAGCAAAAAGTTGGGAGAATTGAAACCATCAAATATTTCTCTACAAACAAACGATTCGAAAGCGAAACACCTGTGATTTGGCTTTGGGAAAACCAATTCAGGCTCAATAGCACTAGCAGCAGAGTCAATATCCCAATTCGAAGACTCCATTTCCCGAATCATCAGCTTTACAAAACTCCGAACAGATCGAACTGCGTAATGCAAAACTCCATTAAAACTACTGGGATTTGCATCGGACAGTTTCACACTTTCAATTATCGAAAACTGTCCACTCGAATCCAGTCTCTTTTCGAGAAACTTGTTATCAGCAATAGCATCGTTGAGTTCGTTGTGAAGAGCAGAAATTTCGCTTTCTTTGGTATCTAATTCGGACCTCATTTTGTTCATCGTAATGTCGAACATCTTCATGAGACTCTGTTGCTCTTGAATCTCCGCAAGCAACATAGTCACATGAGGGGGCGAAGAATCGAGCTGTTTCTTCAAGAAGCTCTGTTTCAACTCAGACAAAGATTTCAATTCGTACACCACAGCTTCATCAGCAGACTGAATCGCTTCGCAGTTGTAAGGAAACTGAGCCATTTGTAGCTCCGCGTAAGCAGCTTTGACAGCTGAAATGGTGGCGAAGAGCTTCGCAGCAAAAGCTTCCATGGCAGCTCTGTTTCGAGACCTTGCTTCATCGTTATTGTTGTCTTTGTCGAAACGTTGTGAATTGTTTTTGAGTTTGGGGTCCTGAGGTATGAGCAAGCAAAACCCAGTGCTTGAAAGGGATTTTGAGGCTTTTCTGAGGTGAATGACTTTGTGGAAGGTTTTGGCTAACTTGTTCTTGGTTGGAGCTGAACTGGGTTTCAGTGAATCCATGTGGGTATTGTGAAAATCAGATGATGAGAGTGGCTTTTGGTCATGAATTGTGTATGAAACCAAAAGAAGAAAATACAGTGACACAGAGAGAGAGAGAGAGAGAGAGAGAAGAAGAAGCTTTTGAGAGAGAAAAAATCAGACACTACGCATGTGGTTTTTTGGCTCGAAGATTGAAGCCGGAGATGAAGGTGTGATTTAAAGCGCGGGAACACAAATAAAATAAAATTAAAAATTACCGTAATTTCTGCCTAAATTCTCTTGGTCATCCTGCTTCATCATTTTTTTTACGAAATTAAACTAAAAGTTTCTATAATTTAAGATTTATATTATTTTAATATCTAATTATTTAATTATGACAATTTTAACCTTACATTTTAAATCTTATTTAAAATAAAAATAATTAAAAATATCATTACTTAATTTCAAGAGTAAAATCATTAATTTATAAAATATAAATTAATTTGATAAAAATAAATGTCAAAATATATTTTTAAATTTTTAAAAATTATTTTACCCACTAAAGATAAAATTATGTGAAATTAATAAATCTTTTACGTATTTATTTATTTTACCACATTAATTTTTATTATGTGCTTAGATGATCATCATGTAATGATTGTTGTTAAGATTTTAATGTGTAATCGATATATTTAATATATAAAATATTTTTAGTTTTGAATTTTTTGATTTAATGGATTGTTTAATAATGATATCAAAATTGTCGCCATATTTGACTTTTAAAAAAATAAAAACTAATTTAATGAAAATAAAAATAACCACCAATTACATGATTATCATTCAAATATATAATAAAAATTAATTTGGTAAAATAAAAATAAATAAATATCTAAAAGATTTATCAATTTTACATAATTTTATCTTTAGTGGGCAGAAATAATTTTTAAAAATTCAAAAATATTTTTTTGATATTTATTTTTGTCAAATTAGTTTATATTTTATCAAATTGACGATTTTTTTCTTAAAATTAAGTAATAGTATCTTCAATTGTTCTTATTTAGAACAAGATTCAAAATTTATGATTAAATGTGTCACAATTGAAAAGTCAGCAATCAAAGTGGCACAAGCTCCAAACTATAGGGATCGTTAGTGTAATTGTCCCTTTGTCTTTTAAAAAAATTAGGATTATTTACACGTAGACTTAAATTATCAAAAAGTATTATTTTGATCTTTTTAAATTTTAAAAGTGTACAAATATATTTTTAAATTATTGAAAAATATCATTTTAAATTATTAAAGAAGCATATGATAGAGTGTCCCGAAATATAATACGGTGGTGTTATAGAAGAAATGGGTAACAAAAGGTTACATTAATGTGATTAGGGACATGTATGAAGGGGTGGTGACCACTATTAGATCGTCTGCTAGAGAGACAAATGAATTTCCTATCACTATAGGGTTACACTAAGGATCTACCTTAAGTCCTTATCTTTTGCTTTAGTTATGGATGAGTCAACAAGAAATATTCAGGATGACGTGTCGTGGTGTATGCTTTTTGTAGACGATATTGTGCTAGTGGATGAGACTAGAAAAGGAGTTAACACGAAGTTGGAGATTTGAAGAAAAACTCTTGAATCTAAAGGATTATGGATAAGTAGAACTAAGACAGAGTACATGGAGTGTAAATTTAGTAACAATAACAATGAAAGCAGAGTGAAAAGTCAGCAATCAAAATGACACAAGCTCCAAACTATAGGGATCGTTAGTGTAATTTGTCCCTTTTTCTTTTAAAAAAATTAGGATTATTTACACGTAGACTTAAATTATCAAAAAGTATTATTTTGATCTTTTTAAATTTCAAAAGTGTACAAATATATTTTTAAATTATTGAAGAAGCATATGATAGAGTGTCCCGAAATATAATATGGTGATGTTATAGAAGAAATGGGTAACAAAAGGTTACATTGATGTGATTAGGGACATGTATGAAGGGGTGGTGACCACTATTAGATCGTCTGCTAGAGAGACAAATGAATTTCCTATCACTATAGGGTTACACTAAGGATCTACCTTAAGCCTTTATCTTTTGCTTTAGTTATGGATGAGTCAACAAGAAATATTCAGGATGACGTGTCGTGGTGTATGCTTTTTGTAGACGATATTGTACTAGTAGATGAGACTAGAGAAGGAATTAACACAAAATTAAAGATTTGGAAAAAAGTTCTTGAATTTAAAGGATTCCGAATAAGCAGAGATAAGATAGAGTACATGGAGTGTAAATTTATTAACAGTAACAATGAAAGCAGAGGAGAAGTGGGATTGAGAACTAAGAATTGCCTAAAAGTGAACATTTTTGTTATTTAGGGTCAATTATCACAACAATGGAGGAGATTGATGTGAATGTGGCCCATAGGATTAAGGCAGAATGGTGTAAGTGGGGAAGTGTGTCTAGGGTACTGTGCGATAAACGAATACTCACTAGACTAAAAGGTAAGTTCTATAGAACGACTATTAGACCGACGATGTTATATGGAATGGAGTGTTAGGTAACCAAGAAATAACATGTAGATAAGATGAGTATGGCTAAGATGAGGATGCTAAGGTGAATGTGTGGCAAGACTAGACAAGACAGAATTAGGAATGAATGTATTCGAGAATGGATAGGAGTAGCACCGATAGAAAATAAGTTGAGACAAAATCGATTGAGATATTTGGTCACATTCAACGGAGACCAACAGAGGCAGTAGTGAAGAGATGTGATGCTATAATAGCAAATGGGAGTGTTAGGGGACGAAGTAGGCGTAGATTAACGTTGGCTAGCATTGTAAATAGAGATATAGATCTACTCAATTTGACTAACGAAATAGCCTTTGATAGGGTCGCGTGGAGAATAAGGATTCATGTAGCCGACACTATTTGATGAGACTTAAGGCTTGGTTTGGTTATAGCAATCTCGATTTTCCCTCCATTGAGTATTGTATTCCGAACTTGGTTCCGTAGATGTGGGTTGTTGTATTTAGCTTGTTTCCGTCTTTCAATACTTTGTATTTGAGTTATAGGATGTTTTGGGCAGGTTCGTTTCAGGTTGGTTGTGATTGGAAGCATATGGTTGCTGTCCAGTTTTTAGCCTCTTCGCTCGAGCCAGGACTTTGTCGCTCGAGCGAGACTTGTATTGTTGCTTCTTCGCTCGAGCGAGGGTTTGTACCCTCGAGCGAGCTTTTCGTGTCTTTAGGTTTTGTTCAGACGCAGCCTTGGCTCGAGCGAGCTGTTCTTCGCTCGAGCGAGCGAGCTGTATGTTTTGGGTTTCTTCGCTTAAGCGAGAGTTTCTTCGCTCGAGCGTGCTTCTAGGTTGCAGACTTGAAGCTTCATGTTTTTCGCTCGAGCGAGGCTTTGTGCACTCGAGCGAGGTTTCTTTGTGTCTGGTCGCTTGAGCGACCACTCCTTCGCTCGAGCGAAGAACGTATATATCAGTTTGCAGCAGCAGCTTCTTCTTCACTTTTTGATTTCCCCTTTTGTCTCAAACCCTAGATTCAACTCTCTCTTTCTTTCTCTCTCTCTACACTCACCTTCTCTCTAGAGATTGATCTAGTTCTTGGGTGTTCCTACCCTAATCTTTTTGTAAGAAAGATAGAGGGTTACGTGGGCTTCGTTTTGATCCGAAAAACTTTGGGATTAGAGGACTTCTGAGTTTGGCTCTTCTTCCCCTTGGGTTCTCCATTTGAGGTAGGGATTCTCCTTGTTCTTTTTCAATACTCCGTCTATAGATAGACATATGGTAGTTTTGTATTGCATGAAAATCATATCTTATTGCATTTCTTTGAAAACCATGTGAGGGAACCTAGGGTTGGTTGTTTGAGAATGATTATTTTTATCACTGATAGTTCTTTGAGCTAATTGGAGTGTAAATTAGCATGTTATTGTGGAAAGAGGAGAAATTCCTAAATTTTGTTTTGATTTGGTAAATTAAAATGGAGGGTAGTTGAACAATAATTGTAAATTACTATTGTTAATATGAGTTGGATGAAGGTGTTAATGCCTAAGGGATTAACTATGGCTTTGGGTTTGTTTTGAAATGAATGTATTGAAACGAGTTGAATTATGGCTTTTATTATCCATGGAATTGGTTTTGTAAAATAAAAAGAATGGAATTGATTTTGTGAATGGGAAAAGTGTTTTGGGGAATAAGTGGTGTAACTTGTTGACTTGGAAAGTTTTTGAAAGTTGACCTTGAAAATGGAAAATGAAATGTTAACTCTATGTGAGTCTCGGAGAATGAATATGAGAATTTAATTATTGTATCATGAGTGTTGAATACACACATTTTGGAGTTTTACCCTTACCTATCGTACTAGTGTCGTTGTTGGGTTTAAGATCTCATGAGAGTTGAGTCTTTATAATAGGTATATTAAAATCATGCATCTAGAGGTTTTGTTCTTAGTTATCGGTGGAGGATGACATGGTTGTGTTGAATTGTCGTATATGCATTACACCTGTGTTGATTGACCATTGTAGGTAATGAAGTGGTATGATACGTTATATATGTATAATTGTTAGGGAGGAGATGGGTGATGTACTCCAGTGTGTGGGAGGAGATAGGGAATGTACTCCACATACCTATGTGTTCATATACTTTAACACATTGCTTATGTATCTTGAATAGTTTATGTGTACGTATTACACTTATTGGTTGTGCTTTGTTATATTGAGATGGTTGGTGTTATATACCGCGCTTAGAATAAGGGGTATCAGTACCTTCCAGCTTGTCTGGAGAATATGGCTAGTCATTTGATTGTAAGGTGTATCCTTAACTTACCGTGCTTATGGCATGTAGAGTAGAGCTTTATTATTATTGTCTCAGTATACCTGAGTATATCATGGCTTGCGATGGTTACAGTTTTTGAGGGCCGAGTTGCCTCATTTGTTGATTTTATACATGTTGATGATTTGTTATCACATTTCTATTAAAGGCATGCATGTATAGATATGAATGTATTGGGAATAAACCAAAATGTCATTATGAGATTTCGGGAAAGTGTGAAAGAAAATTGGGTATTTGAAAGTATGTTTTGAAAAAGGAAAAAACATGTTGTAAGTATGGAAAATGAGAGAAAAGTAATGGGCTTAGTGGAATTGTTTTCTAAGTTGTTATTGTTTATGAAAGTTTGGGAACAAGGGGTAATGAAAAGAAAAGGAAGATGAATCACTTATAATGTTGAATGAA